AATAAACTGTTAATTTCTTAATAATAAGCAGCTAATAAGCCACTAGTCAATAGTGAAATTTGGCACTTAAACTAAAGTGTTACTAAAAAAGTAATTAATTAATTAATAAAAAAACAAGCTTCATTTTGAAATGTAGAGATTCATATGTAGAGATTATTAAAGCATTAACGAAATACATTTTTACATATTACGATGTTCCGCTCTTGCTGTAGGGGTTCAGTGCAGTCAGTTGTGTCCATCAGATGCCATGTGAGCAAGACGGAACTAATATGCATAAATATTTTATCTGGGGCACCATCAATTCAAATGGCGCGTGAGATTATCACATGTCAGCCTTCCAAATGGCTTCATAACCTCCTCTAGAGAAAGTGTGTGAACATCTCTGTTAAACAGCTGACAGGGAAGAGAAATAACTGAGCCTGTTCACTTTCCGAGGAACAGAGAATCCTTCAACAATGAACACACACACACAAAACATCCAAAATCAAAATTATAGATCATCAACATGAAGCATAAAGGATGTGAAATACATGTGCTTTTATGAAATATAAGCTCAATACTTGAAGATAAGTCATTATATTAAGAGTTTTCACCCACTATAATTATGTATTTGGGGTAGCACGGTGGCTTGGTGGTTAGCACTGTTGCCTCGCAGCAAGAATTTGAGTCCTAAGTCAGTTGGCATTTGTTTGTGGAGTTTGCATGTTCTCCTCGTGTTGATGTTGGTTTCCTCTGGGTGCTCCGGTTTCCCCCACAGTCCAAACACATGCGCTATAGGTGAATTGAATAAGCCCGGAGAACGGGGGAGAACATGCAAACTCCACACAGAAATGCCAACTGACCCAGTCGGGACTCAAACCAGCTACCTTCTTGCTGTGAGGCGACAGTGCTAACCACTAAGCCACCGTGGCGCAAAACGGCGCAAAGTAATATATAGAAAAGAATAGGGGACCATACTAGATTTGATGCTGGCGAATGAAGGATATAGTGGCAAAGAACAGATATAAAGGTTTAAAATGACCATTTTGGAGCTGCGCTGTGATATTACAAGGGATGGCCTTGTTGGCCTAACTGGGACAGCACTAAATTGGTTCATATCCTATTTCACTGAACGCTCGCAGTTCATTTATTTGGGAGGTCATAGATCGCGGACTGTCCCTCTGTGTCACGGTGTCCCCCAGGGTTCGGTACTCAGGCCACATTTGTTTAGCATTTATATGCTACCTCTTGGAAAAATGTTACAAAAAAATAGCTCTTTGAGTTTGATAAAAGTGCAATATAAATAAAATGTATTATTATTATTATTATTATTATTATAGTTCACTCCAAAAATGAAAGTTTTCTTATCATTTCCTCACACTGTTAAGTGGTTCTTAACACATCGGAATCGACAGGAATTTCTTTAATTTGTTTTAAAACTATTTTAAGGTCAATGTTATTAGCACAGTGTTCAGTTGTACATTCTAAAACTCGACATTTATAATCCGACATCATCTTCAGCAGGTGAAAACTAATTTAATTCATGCTAATGAGCAGTGAAGGGAATAACAGTGCTATAAGTAAACGGCGCTACTAATGGCGCTACTTTTTCCAGTAACACGTAATCAACTGAGTTACTTTTTCCCCCGTTACAACGCGGTCACCATTACGGACAATGACATGTGCGTTACTATAATTGAGAACACTGAAGCGGTTTTCATATGAGCACGTCTCTCTCTGATACTCTTTGTCTGGGGTTGGTGTGTGTTTGTTTGGGGCTGGGGCCGGACACCTAACCCCAAAGGCAAAGTAGGGCAGGCGTTCACCATAGACAGTAAAAGATATGGACGTACTATCTGTCATATACCGACCTGGGGATACCAAACAAGGGCAAAGAGGCGGAGCGTGAGCAGAGCTACAGACGCATGCTGGCATTTTGCTTAGACAGGCTTTTCTTTAGGAGAAATGCTCAATACTTCATTACCTGTGACTTGTTTGTGTTCTGACCACATGTCCTTGGTTGTACACTAAATCAATAAAGTGTTTAGACTCGTAAAAAAAACACTGCTGTAATACATTGAGGCACTAAGCATTGTTCTTATGATGCTTTTCAACAGGTGTGAATTACTTTCAAATACTTCAGATATAGTCTGTGTTAGTAAATGCAAGGCTATTGATGAAATCAAGGCATAACACTGACTGTTCTAGAGCCTACAGCTAATCAATCTGATAGATTCTGGAGTGCATTACAGCTCTAAAGAAAAATATAAATGATAAATAGTCTTAAATAAAACAAATATATCTATAGAGATAATATATAAGTATATAATTTCACTCACCTGGGAAATGGAGGCCATGTGAATGGTTTTTGAGCACAATTAAGTGCACACAGCATGTCATATCATCTGATAATTGTAGGAAATAATCCCAAAAGGCAATTGACTGTGTAAAGCCACATAAAACAACACAATAATATGATGAATATGCAGAGTTCAGCAGCTTATCAGCCGGAATAAGCTGAGGTGAAGTGACAGAGACCAGCGAGACTTAGCTGTTACTCAAGTGGCAACTGCCTTAACTATGCAAACTTAATAAAACCTAATATAAAGGATGAGTTATAAAAAAAATTCACCCCCTCAGAGTTGTCATGAAAGGTAATATTAGCTATATGAACCAACATCATTCTTTGTACCAGGCTGTAAACACTTTTTTTCTGCTGTAAAGTTGGTCATTCTAACAGTGGGCTCAATAGAAATTTGCTCCATATGGAGCCAGGACTAGCAGAATTTCCATGAATTGGAGTTTCAGTTACTTCCGTATTGGCTTCCCGAGGGAAAGTGGGAGGTTACCGCTTTGGCGTTCACACACAAGCACACGCACACAATCATTCGCACACACCAATGACCAGGAGTCAAAACAACGGTAAATCCAACGAGTTCAAGGATAACATTGGCAAACTGGAAATATAAGCACTACTTTTCCTTAATGAGGTGACATGCAAGAATGTTTCTGTATCGTGTAACATATGTCCAGGAAAAAATAGTCTCTCTGCGTCTGTGACGAGTAATTCTAATCCAATGAAGCCCCTCACGTCGTCACATGCTGCCACAAAATTAGTGGCTACACAGATGATAATATGAGCTCTGCTACCAAAGAAGCTATGACGTCAAAGAGAATAAGACTTGATTTTTCTCCACCGCAAACACTTATTCAGACAGAATTAAACAAAATAATATCTTGATTTATAGCCCCGCTGTTTTTCCCCCCAATTTCTGTTTAACGGAGAGATTTTTTTCAACACATTTCTAATTTTATCTTTGCCATGATGACAGTACATAATATTTGACTAGATATTTTTCAAGACACTTCTATACAGCTTAAAGTGACATTTAAAGGCTTAACTAGGTTAATTAGGTTAACTAGGCAGGTTAGGGTAATTAGGCAAGTTATTGTATAACACTGGTTTGTTCTGTAGACTATCTAAAAAAATACAGCTAATAACATTGACCTTAAAATGTTTGTAATGTAATGTAAAATGTAATGTAACGTGTATTTATATAGCGCATTTATCGTGTATGGCCATACACCCAAAGCGCTTCACAATCATGAGGGGGGTCTCTCCACACCACCACCAGTGTGCAGCATCCACTTGGATGATGCGACGGCTGCCACAGGACAACGGCGCCAGTGCGCTCACCACACACCAGCTATTGGTGGAGAGGAGAGACAGTGATAGAGCCAATTCGGTGGAAGGGGATGATTGGGAGGCCATGATCGTAAGGGCCGATAGAGGGACTTTGGCCAAGACACCGGGGTTAGACCCCTGCTCTTTCACGAGAAGTGCCATGGGATTTTTAATGACCACAGAGAGTCAGGACCTAGGTTTAACGTCTCATCCGAAAGACGGCGCCCACTGACAGTGTAGTGTCCCCTTCACTTTTACTGGGGCATTAGGACTCACACAGACCACAGGTTGAGCGCCCCCTACTGGCCTCACTAATACCACTTCCGACAGCAACCTAGTGTTCCCTAGTGGTCTCCCATCCAGGTACTGACCAGGCTCAGCCCTGCTTAGCTTCAGTGAGTAACCGGTTTTGGGCTGCAGGGTGACATGGCTGTGGTTTGTTTGTTGGTTTGTTTTTTTATTAAAAACTGCTTTTGTTCTAGGCGAAATAAAACAAATAAGACTTTCTCTAGAAGAAAGAATATTTTCAGACATGCTGTGAACATTTCCTGAATCTGTTAAACATCATTTGGTAAATATTCAAAAGAAAAAAAAGTCAAAGGGGGGCAAATAATTCTGACTTAGTTGAGGACATGCTGCCTTTTTCCTCTCACATTGTCCGACAACAACATTAAAATAGTGTAGATTACTGTACTATGGTTTATATTTATTTCGATTTTTTTTAAGTAACGCAATAGTTACATGATTACTCACTTTTATAATTATGTAGCTCGGTTACTATTTGTGAGAAGTAACTAATAACTCTTTCAAAGCAACATTACCAAGACCGCTGATGAGATGGTCACTAGTGGGCGGGGCTTTCCCCCTCTGATGACACAAACGAAGGGAGAATGTCAGTCAAAGTGTTTCTGCAGACTGTTTTCATCAAGTGTGATTGTAAGAAATCACATTTTTCAAGTAATACATTTTTACCATTAGAGGCTGGTTATATTCACACACTTCTGCACACAACTGTTTAAAAGTGATTTGTTTTCATAATAGGTCCCCTTTAAGAAGGGCTAATCATTTTGACTTGAACTGTATATAAAGTATTGTTAGCCTGAATGACATATTATAGTGTCTCTTCTGTCAATCATGGAAAAAAGAGAATGAAAAAAAGCAGAAAAAGCTAATACTGCAAAAATAAAAAGGGTCATGTTAGATCAGTAGACAGAGTAGAAATGAGTTCTTGTCAGAGAGATGGAAAGAAAAAAAAAAACTTGCCCAAATCTTTTCAGGCCACAGAAGATGGAGCTGCCAGTGTACTGTATGTGAGTGAACTGTGTGTGTTTCTCAGACAGTTTGGCAGCTCCAGTGAATGTGTCCATCAGGGATCTGAAGAGCAGCTCAGCCGTGGTGACATGGGACACGCCAGACGGAGAGCCAGTCATCGGCTTCGCCATCACACAACAGGTACTGTCCACCACAGGGGGAAAGAAAAGCAACACAATTCTTGAGCTTTTTTCGGGGGACAACTTCATTGTTTACTTTAGTTAAAGTCTAATAAACTAACTTAATTTATTTACACTGCAAAAACTGCTTTTTGTAGATTTTTTTGTCTTGTTTCTAGTGCGAATATCTAAAAATGATTATAGCAAGAAGCCCGGTGAGTTTTTCCTTAAAATAAGATAAATAATCTGCCAATGGGATTATGGATCACTTCATTTTTTTAAGGTAAGTAGTTGAACAATTTATATGGGCTGAATTTAAACAAACACATTAGTAATGTTCAGCTTAATTTGTTTAAATTCAGCCCATATAAATACTTTGCAAAACCTTACCTTAAAAATATACAGTTGAAGTCAGAATTATTAGCCCCCCTAAATTATTTTTTATGTTTATGTTTTTATGTTATGTTTATTTTTCCCCAATTTCTGTTTACGGAGAGAAGATTTTTTCAACACATTTCTAAACATAATAGTTTTAATAACTCATTTCTAATAACTGATTTATTTTATCTTTGTCATGATGACAGTAAAATATATTTGACTACATATTTTTCAAGACACTTCTGTACAGCTTAAAGTGACATTTAAAGCCTGAACTAGGTTAATTAGGCAAGTTATTGTATAATGATGGTTTGTTCTGTAGATTATCGAGAAAAAATATAGCTTAAAGGGGCTAATAATTTTGTCCCTAAAATGGTTTTAAAAAAATTAAAAACTACTTTTATTCTAGCCTGAATAAAACTAATAAGACTGTATCCAGAAGAAAAAATATTATCAGACATACTGTGAAAATTTACTTGCTCTGTTAAACATCATTTGGAAAATATGAAAAAAAAAAGAACAAAATTCAAAGGGATAATAATTCTGACTTCAACTGTATATATATAAATCCAACAAATCATTTTTTTTGTGTAGACAAAAGCAAATAAACTGTGATAATGTGCGAAATGTTGAAGGTGTTTGAATATTGTTGGTTTTGATTGTGTGTAAAATACAATGCATTCATGTAAATACAGTTTTGACTTGTCCTTACCAGAAGAAAGATGTCCGCATGCTGCGCTTTATTCAAGAAGTGAACACCACCACGCGGAGCTGTGCATTGTGGGATCTGGAAGCTGATACGGATTACATTGTGCACGTTCAGTCTATCAGCATCAGCGGGGCGAGTCCTGTTAGTGAAGCTGTGCACTTCAAGACCCCGACAGAAGTTGAAACACAGGCCTCCAAGAACAAAGGTGCTCACAACACACATCTCTCACACCCATCATCTATACACTCACCAGCCAGTTTACTAGGTACAGTGAGCAGCAGTTCTGTGGGGGCAAATGCTTTGTTGATGGCAGAGGTCTGGGGAGAATGGCCAGACAGGTTCCAGCTGATAGAAAGGCAACAGTAACTCAAATAAGCAGTCGTTACAACCAAGATATGCAGAGGAGCGTCTCTGAATACACTACAAGTCCAACCTTAGAGCAGATGGGCAGCAGAAGACCACACCAGGTGCCACTTCTGTCAGCTAAGAACAGCAAACTGAGGCTACAATTCACACAGGCTCACCAAAATTGAACAAGACAAGATTGGAAAAACGTTGCCTGGTCTGATGAGTCTCGATTCCTGTTGCTACATTCGGATGGTCGGGTCAGAATTTGACATCAACAACATGAAAGCATGGATCCGTCCTGCCTTGTATCAACGGTTCAGGCTGGTTTTGGTGGTGTATTGGTGGGGGGTATTTTCTTGGCACACTTTGGGTCCATTAGTACCAATTGAGCATCATGTCAACGCCACAGCCTACCTGAGCATTGTTGCTGACCTATAATAGAGCACCTTTAGGATGTGGTGGAATGGGAGATTGGCATCATGGATGTGCAGCCGACAAATCTGCAGCAACTGCGTGATGCTATCATGTCAATATAAACCAAAATCAGAGGAATATTTCCAGAATCTCGTTGAATCTATGCCACAAAGGATTAAGGTAGTTCTGAAGGTAAAAGAGGGTCCAACTGAGTACCAGCAAGGTGTACCTAATAAAGTGGCCGGTGAGTGTATATGAACAGTGCTTCTCTATGATGCTTAAAAAGACCCACCTGCAAAGCTACCTGAAAAACTATGGGCAAGTTGTGTAAATGCAAAGTGTGGTTATACCAAATGTTGAATTGATTTAGTCAATATAAGTTAATTGATATATAAAATGTATTTATCCATTATTTTTTAAAAGCATGCTAATTTTACAGCATTTTTACACAAGTGCCAAAAACTGTACATTTGCAAGTTGGTTTTTTGAAGCGTCTTAGAGATGTTTTAAAAAGTTCTTCTGGATTGAGTTTGTATAAATGTCACTGACAGACAGAGTGGATGAACATCAGATTAGATCTCTGTGTGGAGCACTGGCTGTTGGCAGACAACAATCTCTCTGTACAATTAATGACAAAAATAATGTTGAATTTATACTTCAAACTGACATGCAATAGAAATATCCCACTTTAAACCTTTTTTTTTTTTTTTTGGTGAAAATTTTAGTGACCTAAGACTAAAATACAATTGAAGTCAGAATTATTAGCCCCCCTGTCTATTTTTTCCCCCAATTTCTGTTTAACAGAGAGATTTTTCAGCAAATTTCTAAACATAGTAGCTTCAATAACTCATTTCTAATAACTGATTTTTTTTTTTTTATCTTTGCCATTATGACTAAATAATATTTGACTGGATATTTTTCAGGACACTTCTATACAGCTTAAAGTGACATTTAAAGGCTTAACTAGGGTAATTAGGTTAACTAGGCAGGTTAGGGTAATTAGGCAAGTTATTGTTTACTTAAAGAGGCTAATAATTTTAAAATCTTAAAATGGTTAAAAAATGTAAAAATGCTTCTATTCTAGCAGAAATAAAACAAAAAAGACTTTCTCCAGAAGAAAAAATATTATCAGACGTACTGTGAAAATTTCCTTGCTCTGTTAAACATCATTTGGGAAATATTTAAAAAAAAAAAAAATCAACTGTATAATATATATATAGTGCCTTAGTGTCCCACCAATGATGATATACGGCCATATCGCACTGCTACTTGTGTGTTATAGTGTTTATACCACAGTTTGACAGCATTATCGTGTATAGAAAAAAAAAATCAAACACAGTCTCAAAAATCCTTCACATCTGCAGCTGACGTCAGAACAGCACAAACCGTTGCTACTTCACAAACATCACTTTAGAGCTAGTATTTGAATGATTCTCTAGTGTAATGTCTAAAGTTAAGACAAAACACATTTGCTCACATTTTAAGATTATAAGGCTGAATGGCATGAAATGCCATCAGTCTGCAGAGATTTCCCAGTATTTCTCTGTTGCAACCGAGAGATTCCAATAATCAACCCTGAAAAAGTCAGAGCAAACCAAAAACTAATAGATGACTGAGCAGATTACTATGGTATAAATACAGCACTACAACACACTAAAGAGAGAGATCGACTTAGAATGTCACTTGCCTGTTCTATAATGATTTGTTTAGCTGTAGTTTAAAACGTACGCTGAAAAAATGCTGTTTTTCTCCTCTGAGCTTATTATGCGTTCTCTGTCGCCATCTTGTGGCAGAATGTCAACCATTTTTGCTCTGCTCTATGACAAGCTAATGGTCGCCAAAGTGCTGAATTATGAATATTTAAAATAGGCACTATCCTTATAAATAAACTGCAAAGTCGCAATTTAAACAACTACATTCTTGCCTAAAAAAGCCTTAAAAGTACATTATGTTGTCCAACAGCTGCATTATTTGTCAAACGTGTCCTCTGCTTGCCACTCATGTGGGTGGAGTATTACACAAGTGTGAAGAGGCTGTACAAGTGCTGATATTACTTTAAATATCTCACAGCTATCAGCCAATCAGATTCAAGTTTCAGGCATAACTGTTGTATAAATAAATTTCAGTGTTTAGAAGTGCTAGAAGTTGTTGTTTTGTACTGAAAAATGGTGCAATTTTAACACAGAAATTGCTAGTAGGTTTGATAAGAAACTGCAAATACTCCCAAGTGCAGTTAAGACAATGTTTGCCTGTACAGTGTTGGATTTATGCAATTTTGTCACATAAATGTATGTGCATTTCATAATGAACTTAAATATTTTTCAGTCCCTCAAGGTCTAGGATTTTGTCCTAGTCCAAAAGTTCTTGGAACCAGGCCCGGATTGGCTAATCGGGAGGACTGGGAGAAATCCCGGTCCGTTTTTTGGCCGCGAGGGCCAGTGTTTCAAGCTGCTCGCACTCTCAGCAGTCGCACTTTTTTTTCATTTATTTATTTATTTGACCATAGCCCTAATCTTTTTATTCATTATTTTGCCGCAGCTCCGCTCTTCTTATTTATTGTCTCGCAGCCCCATGAGCACAATGCAGACCGTAACTATCATTCCGGCGACATAAGTATAACAAGACCATAGTGGTCCAGTGGACAGCATGTTGTGTTACGATGCCATTGATCCGTGTTCTAACCACACCTGAGTTATTCTTTTTTTTTCTCTTATTTTTATTGTTAAGACATATAAAACTGTAAGGTTGTTGATCATTTTAAGTTCTAAGGCAGCTTTTTTTTCTTGAAAAAGACGTGATAGTGTAATTAGAAACTGAATTGGAAATGACCTTATTTTAATATAGTCAGTCGTGAACTAAGGTGGGCTGGTCTAAGGCTTGAAACTCCAGGGTTGAAAAGGAGTCCCACTCCGGCCCTGCTTGGAACAAAAAAAAAAAAATTTGACAGGATTTTTGTGTATTTTCACATCAAAACACAAAAAAGTGTAAGCAAAGACTACCGTACGTTTAGAGGAAAGCAGTCACAGCAGTGTTTTGGTGGTGGTGGGGCTGGAGGTTGCATTACAAAATAATTTGATTTTATTTTATGGAGGGACAGATTTTCAGTTATTACATTAGTCATTTTTTTAAATAAAAAAAGAGATTTTTTAACTTAAAAATTGTCAAAGATGTGCTTGCTTTCACTTCTCTGACCAATGATTAACAAATAATGAATGGAACTTAAGATTAGTTCAGACAGAAGATCGTCTTTAAGATTAATTAGATTGATTAAGGGTGCATCTCACCCCTATCAATCAATAATCTGTGATTAGCTCTGCTTTTAATTAACCCATCTTTGTAAATGTACACTGTAAAATCTCAAAGAGGCCTCTGATCTGATCTGATAGCATTAAGGCTCTTTAAATCACTTAAAAATCTTTACAGTTTTAGGAATTGTTTATATACATATACACTGCATATGACCTTGGAGCACAAAACCAGGTTTACTGTATGTTGCACAGGTATGTTTATTGGAATAACCAAAAGTACGTTATATGAGTCAAAATGTTTTATTTTAATTTTATATAAAAAAATAACTGGAATATTAAGTAGGGATCATCTTTCATAATATATACACTTACCGGCCACTTTATTAGGTACATCTTACTAGTACCTGGTTGGACCCCCTTTTGCCTTCAGAACTGCCTTAATCCTTTTGTGGCAAAGATTCAACAAGGTACTGGAAATATTCCTCAGAGATTTTGCTCAATATTGACATGATAGCATCACGCAGTTGCTGCAGATTTGACAGCTGCACATTCAGGATGCCAATCTCCCGTTTCACCACATCACAAAGGTGCTCTATTGGATTTAGATCTGCTGACTGTGGAGGCTATTTGAGTACAGTGAAATCATTGTCATGTTCAAGAAACCAGTCTGAGATGATTTACGCTTTATGACATGGTGTGATATCCTGCTAGAAGTAGCCTTTAGAAGATGGATATACTGTGGTCATAAAGGGATGGACATGGTCAGCAACAATACTCAGGTAGGCTGTGGCTTTGACATGATGCTCAATTGGTATTAATGGGCCCAAAGTGTGCCAAGATAATATCCCCCACACCATTACACCACCACCAGCCTAAATCGTTGATACAAGGCAGGACGGATCCATGCTTTCATGTTGTTGACACCAAATTCTGACATTACAATCTGAATGTCACAGCAGAAATCAAGACTCTCATTATACCAGGCAACATTTCTTCAATCTTCTATTGTCCAATTTTGCTAAGCCAGTGCTATTTGTAGCGTTAGTTTCCTTTTCTTAGCTGACAGGAGTGGCACCCAGTGTGGTGTTCTGCTGTAGCCCATCTGCCTCAATGTTAAGCATGTTGTGCTTTCAGATATGCTCTTTTGCAGACCTCGATTGTAACAAGTAGTTACTTGAGTTACTGTTGTCTTTCTATCAGCTGGAACCTGTCTGGCCATTCTCCTCTGACAGCAACAAGGCATTTGCGCCCACAAATTTGCAGCCCATCACTGGATATTTTCTCTTTTTCAGACCGTTCTCTGTAAACCCTAGAGATGGTTGTGCATGAAAATCCCAGTAGATCAGCAGTGTCTGGCACCAACAATCATGCCACGTTCAAAGACACTTAAATCCCGTTGCTTCCCCATTCTGATGCTCATCTTGACCATGCCTGCATGCCTAAATGCTTTGAGTTGCTGCCATGTGATTGGCTGATGGGAAATTTGCATTGACGAGCAGTTGTACAGGTGTACCTAATAAAGTGGCCATTGAGGATGGAGATCAGTTATACCTCAGACAAATATATAGCCAACCCTAACAAACCATACATCAATTAAAATTGTAGTCATTCAGCTTTCAGATAATGCATAAATCAGTATAAATGTTTGAGTCCCTCATGACCTGGTTTGTGGTACATATTCAAACACACACACACATACACTTAGGGTCTTTATCAATATTCAGTGTGTGACGTATACCTGTAATATAGTGTCTGTATCTCTGACAGACGAGGTGACGATGGAGGAGGTCGGGCCGAACGCTCAGCTCAGGGCCGGAGAGTTCATCATTATTGTGGTGGTCCTCATCATGTGGGCAGGTGAGCATTAGTACAGGAGACCACATCTGCTTGTAATCAGATTACAGCTACTTACAGCTTATTATTAGCCATCACATTTACATTGTCGTTTTGTCCAAAGCGACTTACAATTGAAGAGGCATTCCACAGTCACAAGTCCCACAGTAAAATGAATGAGCCACACATAAATGGCGTTACAACATTCGCTGTGCGCACACACACAACACACAAACACGCGTAGGCGTTTAACATGTTGTACAGTTTTTGCTCATCTCCTCATGGAAAATGTGACAGGATTAACAGCAAATGGGTAAACATGCTGCTGTATTGAGATCCATAATAGCCAAATTACTGTACAAAATAAACCTGATTTAACATCCACTAACCAGAACTCCTGTTGTGTGGTTGAAGCAATGTCCTTTATAGTTGTGTACACTAGGCAGCTGTGCTGATTACAGTGGCTATGAATTGCGTAGCTCAAAAAGTAGAGTTTAAAATGCTGTAAAAGAAAAAGGTCTAAGGGTGCTTTCACACCTGCTTTATTTCGTTCGATTGAATCGCACTAGAGTTTGTTTTCCTTTTTGGTGCGGTTCGTTAGGGCAGGTGAGAATGCAGCAATTGTACTCGAGTGCGCAACAAATAAGCGTACCGACACCTGCTTAAAGAGGTGGTCTCCGTACGCTTTCAAACGAACCCTGGAGCAGTTCGTTTGTGGTGAGAATATGATCCGTACTAGAACAGGTCCAACCTCAAAAAGTACTGCGCCTTTTGGACTAATCCAGCTGCCATAGGCCGATGCGCCCTGCATTATTGGATATGGAGGAAAAATATTTGTTGACAGCGCTTCACCAACAGAGAGAGAGAGAGAGAGGGGAGTTTAGCTAAATTAATTCACGCCTCCTCCTGAAGTGATGTGCGATGCATTAAAACACTGTTTTTCAGCCGCGGTAGCGCTTCATTCTCGAAATGTACAGTTTGTCTAAAGCAGGCATACAATCCGTCAGCGCAGTTGTTCCTCCAGAGTAAAAACGACATTTTGTTTTGTTTACTTTCAGGAGTTCACTGGCATTTTCCTGCACGTGAATTCTAACCAATCAATAAGCAGTGTAGGAAATATGTTCAACAACATCTGGCCAATGAGAGATGTGGATTTTGTCAGATGACTGCATTTTGGTTTGTTCCAACTGGTTCGGACCAAAGGCAGCAGTGTGGTGTGAAAACGACCCAGAGACGGCAGAAAATGCAACAATGTATCATTTATTGCCCTTGGTCCGGACCAAATGAAGCGAACTACAGATGTGAAAGCACCCTAAGTGTATGACTTACTTTACACACATGTGTAACCCCGCCAGTCCTACGCCACCCAACCCGCTCCGAGCTGGTATCGAACCAGCGACCTTACGCATGGGAGTCGGTTGCTCTACCAAGGAGGCTAAAGACCAGGGCCTCTAACATGGGTCGCTAGCGCACCTTTAGAGGTCAGAGGAGTGAGTTTACCTGCACAGCACTCACTAGCTGGCCTCCGTTACACTCACCCCCCTAAACCTCACTCTCATCCGGGTAACTGCACCAATGTAACCCCGCCAGTCCTACACCTCCCAACCGGCTCTGAGCTGGGATCGAGCCGGCAACCTTCCGCATGGGAGTCGGGTGCTCTACCAAGGAGGCTAAAGACCATAGCCTCTAGTGTCTGTCGCTAGAGCACCTTTAGAGGTCAGAGGAGGGAGGTTTACCTGCACAACACACACTAGCTGGCCTCCGTTACACTCACCCCCCTAAACCTCGCTACCATCCGGGTCACGGCACCAATGTAACCCCGCCAGTCCTATGCCACCCAACCCGCTCTGAGCTGGTATCGAACCGGCGATTTTCTGCATGGGAGTCTGTTGCTCTAACATGAGGCTACAGACCATGGCCTCTAGCATCGGTCGCTAGAGCACCTTTAGAGGTCAGAGGAATGAGATTTACCTGCACAGCACTCACTAGCTGGCCTCCGTTACACATGCTGGATCACAGAGAGTTGGAACAGGTCTTTTAATCTGAGTTTCTCTGCAAATCCTGTCTTGTGGACATGATTATATGCATTAATACGGAGCATGTTAATACGCACCTGTCAAAAAATATAGGTGCCCAGGGAAAACAGCATGTCATGTTGGGCCTCAAAATTGCTGGGATTCGGATCCTATTTTAACATTACACATTTTTAAAAAGAGATGTGCTGTGTTTATATCTCTCCAATATGACTGTGGACACATTTCCTTCTAAACAGCTTGCAAAAGTTGATTCTGCATGATAAAGATATATTTGGATGGATGGATGGATGGATCTTAAAGCATGTTGTGCTGTTATAAACACCACTGCAAATACATTGAATCTACACTGAATCTACAGTGTTTGTGTGTGTGTGTGTTTCAGGTGTGATCGCACTATTCTGCCGTCAGTATGACATCATTAAAGACAACGAACCAAACAATAACAAGGATAAAGCCAAGAACTCGTCTGAATGCAGCACTCCAGAGCACACGTCAGGTGGCCTGCTGCGCAGTAAGGTATAACCAGCAGTCCAGACCACACTATACACAGGTGAATCGACTCCACCACACTTTACTGACATCACACTTCATTTCACATCACTATATACACATCCTCATTTATTCAGACAATGATCCTTATTAATAATATGTGAAGTGGCTTCCGGGTCCAAGTGCTCTATCAAACTGTATGAGGAGACTCAAAAATGGTAATAATAAACATTTACAATACATTTGAAAAGTCATGATTACAATATATATATATATATATATATATATATATATATATATATATATATATATATATATATATATATATATATATATATATATATATATATATATATATATATATATATATATATATATATATATATATATATATATATATATATATATATATATATATATGTAAATAAAGGGCTGCGTCCAAAATTGCCTATTACTCACTAGGTACTCCTATTTGTATTTAAACGTACTACTAGACCGTACGACCTACACAATATGAATGAAAATCGGATGTTCAACGTCCACCATTTTGTCATCATCACGTGACCCACCCGCGTCAGTTGAGCCGCTTCATTCCTATCAAAGAGCTTAGAATGACCAAGAGGCTACACTCAATAGAACGTTCCATTGCAACAGCAGCGCCCAGCAGCAGCCCTGGATTCCGCCATTTTGGAGTGAAAGTGATCGGCTGTCCATTGGATCTCATTACTGTCGCGATGGCAAGCAGCTGCTTTGTTTTTTGTTTATTTATTTAAAAAGCCCATTTAAGCTGAGATACTACCTGAAAGACGACAATACAACACTTACTATCACAATCATCAGCACTTTTAATAGTTTATTTTACAGACTTATAATATGCTGTTGTTCTATTGGAGTTTTCATTCCAAAATGACCGCCGCACCCTCTAGTGTAATTTGGGAAAAAGCCACTAGAGTGTCACCTCTTGCTCATTCTAAGCTCTTTTAAAGCTCTTTCTAAGCTCTCTTCTAAGCTCCCATTCATGAATTATCTCGCGGTGCATCATGGGATAGTGTAGCGTGCATTAGATGCACACTTCAGAATCTTGCCGGAAGTAGTAGGTCATCCAAGTACTTCTGGCTCACTGATTTTCGAATTCTATGAATTCAGTCAAACTTCTTGACTCGCAAACTGTATTTAGCGCATTATATAGTATGGAAGTAAGCCATTTCGGACGCAGCCTTGGTGTCTGTGATGCAGCAAGTCCAGAGACTGTTCTGTACACCATGATGTTATGATGTTAAAATTCACTTTAATGTGTGACATGACTAAAAAAAGGTCATAAACAAATATTTTCTCAATTCAAATGAGTAGCGGCTTGTGCCTGAAAAATAGATTTTATACATCACAACATCCCAACCCCTTTGAGGGTCTCTGCACTGGCTTGGTCAGAATTATAAGCCCTCCTAAATTATTAGCCGACCTGTATATTTAGACTTTTTCAACACATTTTTAAACATAATAGTATTAATAACTCATTCCTTATAAGTGATTTATTTTATCTTTGCCATGATGATAGTAAATATTATTTGATTATTTATTTTTCAAGAAACTAGTATTCAGCTGAACCCTTTCACTGCCTGTTCCACCAAATGGTTGACCATGTTTTGACTGTTTTGAATAATGGTTTACACAAACAGCAAACTTCAAAAAATAAATATGATTTATATTCAAAACTGTTTTATTTTGAATACGTTTTAAAATAAATTGGTCTTAACCTTCTTTTTTTTTCATAGTATATGGATTAAATCCGGCACTTTTACCATAAACTGACATATCTACCATTTGGCAGAGGTTGATATTTTAGAAATTATGGGATGATTACCCCCAAATAATCCACTGAGTGTGTTAACTAGTGACATTAGGAGTTAAGAAATCCAATCCATTTTTTCCCCCTTGTAGAACAGTTAAAGGGTTATAGTGACATTAAAAGGGTTAAATACGTTAATTAGGCAAATTATGGTAATTGGGCAAGTTTGTAATTTTCTTATTTGTTTTATTTCGGCTAGAACAAAAGCAGTTTTAATAAAAAATAAATAAAAAACATTTTAGGGTCAAAATTATTAGCCCCTTTGAGCTATATATTTTTTTCTCGATAATCTACAGAACAAACCATCATTATACAATAACTTGCCTAATTACCCTAACCTGCCTAGTTAACCTAATTAACCTAGTTAAGCCTTTAAAATGTCACTTTAAGCTGTATAGAAGTGTCTAGAAAAATATCTAGTAAAATATTATGTGCTGTCATCATGGCAAAGATAAAATAAATCAGTTATTAGAGATGATTTATTAAAACAATAAGGTTTAGAAAATGTGTTGGAAAAATCTCCTCTCTGTTAAACAGAAATTAGGGAAAAAACAGGGGGGCGGATAATTCTGACTTCAACTATATATTGCATAAGTGGGCTAATAATATTGAAAAAATAATTAAAATTGCTCTTATTGTAGCCGAAACAAAACAAATAAGACTTTCTCCAGAAGAAAAAATATTATAGGAAAAACTGTGAAAAATCCCTTGCTCTATTAAACATCATTTGGGAAATATTTGAAAGAGAAAATTCACAGGGGGACTAATAATGTTGACTTTAACTGTACACATCTTTCATTTCTTCATTCCTCAGCCCTTCACAGCTCATTAAGTCGCCCTCAAGTCTTTGGCTAACATTATATACATCTGCTTTCACTCTCCACAGACCTCCAACATCAACAACAACAACAACCGATCGCCATCTGTCAACATTATCAAAGTGTGAATCTGCATTTACCACACCGGCCGAATGTGCAAAAACAAGCAGAAAGCAGGAATTCTGGACATTTCCTGAAGAAAGCTGGAATAATCCTGCGAGAGTCTGAAACCGGCTCTGGGGGTCTGAAGATAAGAGGAAATCTGTGAAGAAATGCACGGAGTGTGGGGAAAAAAAGGACCCTTTTTATGGCTTTACAAAGAAGTGGTGTCGGCAAGAAGATCCGCATTTAAAAGCCTGTCTTTTACACTTGAAAACTCTTGAGCTTTGCTCCTTTATCTGGTTTAATCTTTTACGCTGTTTGCAATGGCATGATGCACATTCTCAATGACGGTTTTTATAGTCAAGTAAATCTGCAGCGATTTACTGAAGGAATTAACCTATTAGTTTTTATAAATTTAAGTAGATTGAACTTAAAACAATTAAGTTGTTCCAACAAAACCATCAAGAATTGTGTTGTTTCAGCTTCATTTAAATAATTAGTTTGAACAAGCAGCAAACATTTTTTACAGTGCAGTGTATATTTAAAACAAGCAAATAAATAATAATGAGAAAGAACTATTAGATGTGTTGACAGATTTTCCAAACCCAACGGCATAATATAGCATCCTCCAAGGCATCATCAAGAGTATCTTTTCCCAAACTTTAAAGCCGAACGTTTTTATTCAAGCTTCTTGCTCCCGCTCAGGGAAGGAAGTGTTCATCCGGAGAATAGAGGCGCTTTATTTTGGACTGTTCAACTGATTTGACTGAGAGATGAAAGAATGCTGTGGAATAATGTTAGTGACAGCTTGGGTTTCAGCACACTGGAGAAATTTTACTTCTGCTTCTCATTGTGTGGTGTTGTTGTTTTCACAGGCACAGAATCTAGCACACGAAACCAGCCGTGCTAGCAAAGATTTGCTTAGGTATATACACTCACCGGCCACTTTATTAGGTACACCTGTCCAACTGCTCGTTAATGCAAATTCCTAATCAGCCAATCACATGGCAGCAACTCAATGCATTTAGGCATGCAGGCATGGTCAAGACGAGCATCAGAATGGAGAAGAAAGGGGATTCAAGTGACTTTGAAAGTGGCATGATTGTTGTCAACAGGCTTGACGAAGTATTTCAGAAACTGCTGATCTACTGGGATTTTCACACACAACCATCTATTAGGTTTAAAAAGAATGGTCTGAAAAAAGAAAACATCAAGTGAAAGGCAGCTCTGTGGGCGCAAATGCTGAATGCCAGAGGTCAGAGGAGAATGGCCAGACTGGTTTTAGCTGATAGAAAGCAGCAGAAGACCACACCGGGTGTCACTCCTGTCAGCTAAAAACAGGAAACTGAGGCTACAATTGGCACAGGCTCACCAAAATCAAACAACAGGATTGGAAACACGTTGCCTGGTCTGATGAGTCTGGATTTCCACAGCGACATTCGGATGGTAGGGTCCAACCTAGTACTAGTAAGGTGTACCTAATAAAGTGGCCGGTGAGTGTAGGCTGAAACAAGAGATTTAAAACAAATGCTATGAGTTAGAGTGAATAGACATTTCTTTTACTATGTACAGCAACAAACTACAATGCACTTATTGATTTACTACCAAGCTGATCGCATGGACTAAATTAAACACAATATCGGTAATATTTCACAAGGTTGACATTAGTAAGAATCCTCAGAACTTCAACAGCATTTTTTGATTAATGATAATCTCTATTTGTTATTTTAATAATAAAAAGTGGTATATCTCAAAATTAGCTAATGCACTGTGAACTAACATTAATGTGAAATTGTATTATTGTTATTATTAACTAATGCAAGGTTAATAAATGCTCAATAAATGAGGTTAACTAAACTATTTTACTATTTAAAAAGCACTTAAAAAGGTTATACAGGGACTTAAAATAAGAGAGCTGGGTGTTGAACCTGAACTAAACTATAAAAATAAATGTAAAAGAACAGTTTTCTGTAGTTTGTGATTCAAGTTTTTATTTTTCCCCCATTTATTTGTGCTTTTTAATAGAATTATAGGATCTTGATCTTTCTACCAACAACTTTTAACCATGAAAAGTAAAAAAAAGGGACTTTTATTGACATTTTTAATAGTTTAAAGTGATATATTGTATGGAATGGTGTTATATTATGCTATACAAACCTTGTAAAAAAAAAACTCAGTATATTTTCTGGCATTTTACAGGCTTATTTCTCTATTTATTATTTCTTATACATTATTTCAAATGACCAAAATGTCAATAAAAGTTAGCAGAGCAGAGATCAAGGTCCCATAATGCAATTCACAACCGTAAATAAATGGAAAACCCTTGAGAATCACAAAATTCAGACACTGTTAATTAACAGATTTTGTTTACAGTGCGATTCAATCCCCTAAAACAAACCAGACACTCTAATGTTAGGAAAATGTGTTTGATTATGATATAATCCGACATAAAAATCAACGATGCAGTTTCCTTAAACTCCCATTTGAAAAAAAAAAACAGTAGCTTGCTTTTGGATATAAAACTGCATTGAAACCAGCTCAAACACCTTCATTACTAAAAATGCCTGACGCATTTATTACTTCAAGATGTTTTAACGCTACGATCATATTCCAGTTGCATTGTAAATATTTCCTTATATATAAAGCGTTTTCTTTAATAAAGGGACTATAGTAGGGCTGAGTTTGTTAAATGTTCTGAAGGGCTTTTCACATCCTGGTTTATTGGTAACTTTTACAGTTACACAGTTTAACGTTTTACAGTTGACGAATCTGAAACGGTGTTGTTAAACCTGCATCTAAGAGTTTAAAGTCTGTGTGAACAAGGGGTGGATGAATCAATCCTAATACTGATAGTATCAATATCAAAGTACACAGTGCATTCAGTGCATCTGGAAAGTATTCATAGTGCTTCACTTTTTCCACATTTTTAATGTTAAAGCCTTATTCCAAAATTGATTTCAATTCTTTTATATCCTCAAAATTCTACACACAAAACCCCATAATGACAATGTGAAAAAATAGTTTTTGAAATTTTTGCAAATTTATTAAACATAAAAAAGCAGAAAAATCACATGTACATCAGTATTCACAGGCTTTGCCGTGAAGCTCTAAATTGAGCTCAGGTACATTTTGTTTCCACTGATCATTCTTGAGATGTTTCAGCAGCTTAATTAGAGTTCAGCTGTGGTCAATTTAGTTGATTGGACATGATTTGAAAAGGCATACACCTGTCTATATAAGGTCCCAGGGTTGACAGTGCATGTCAAAGCACAAACCAAGCATGAAGACAAAGGAATTGTCTGTAGACCTCCGAGACAGGATTGTGTCAAGGCACAAAGCTGGGGAGGGTTACAGAAAAATTCCTGCTGCACTGAAAGTTTCATCTAGCACAGTGGCCTCCATCATCCGTAAGTGAAGATGTTTGGAACCACCAGAACTCTTGGTCAGGTCACTCTGTCTGAGCTCCAGCATATTTCTGTAGAGAGAGGAGAACCTAGAAGAACAACCATCTGTGCTGTATGGTAGAGTGGCCAGACTGAAGCCACTTCCCACCTGGAGTTTGCCAAAAGGCATCTGAAGGACTCTCAGACCATAAGAAACTAAATTCTCTGGTTTGATGAGGCTAAAATTGAACTCTTTGGAGGGAATGCCAGACGTTACCTTTGGAGAACCAGGCACCACTCATCACCAGGCTAATATCATCTCTACAGTGAAGCATGGTGGTGGCAGCATCATGCTGTGGGGATGTTTTTCAGCAGCAGGATCTGGAAGACTAGTCAGGATAGAGGGAAAGATGAATGCAGCAATGTACAGAGACATCCTGAATGAAAACCTGCTGCAGAGTGCTCTTGACCTCTTTTTCACATTGTCATTATGGGGTTTGTGTGTAGAATTGTGAAGAAATAAATGAATTGAATCAATTTTAGAATAAGGCTGTAAAATAAAAAATGTGGAAAAAGTGAAGCGCTATGAATCTTTCCAGATGCACTGTAAAACAATTAAGTTAACCCTCAAGAATTGTGTTGATTCAGCTTGTTATAAATAAGTAGTTTGAACAAGCAGCAAAAATATTTTTTGATTGTAGATATTAGTATTGAATTGATACAAGCCTAATAGGATGATCGGTGCTTTAGTGCATGTTATAATCAATGCTAATGTACAATACATCTCTTTAATCACGGTATGTGTGTCTGCAAATGCTTCTTTCAGATCTTATTCGCTGCTTTATTGCGAGACTAATGAAAGAGTAATAGAAGTAAGAGATTTTTTTATTTTTTTTTTTACATTTGTATATTTTAAAACATTTGTTCTCCGGTGCAAGTTTTGTGATGTTATTGCTTTAAAAACTCATTTAAACAGACAGAAGTATTAAACTACATTTTTTAAATTACATTTTTTTTAAAAAAAGTATCGGCATTAGTATCAGCGATACCGGCCCTGTATTTACTTGGTATCGGATCGATACTTTTTTGCAGTATCATCCATAAACTATGAACTAATGTTAACTAAACTATTTCAATATTTGTAAAGCGCTTAAAAGGTTATACAGGGACTTAAAATAAGCGAGCTGGATATTAAACCTGAACTACACTATAAAAATAAATGTAAATGAGCAGTTTTCTGTATTTGGTGATTCAAGTTTTTATTTTTCCCCCATTTATTTGTGCTTTTCAAATGCATTGTGGGACCTTAAGCATTCTACCAACAACTTTTAACCATGACAAGTCGGAAAAAGGGACTTTTATTGACATTTTAAATAGTTTAAAGTGATATATTGTCTGAGTTTAAAGTGATATATTGTCTGGGATGGTGTATTATCATGATACAAAGGCATGAACGTTGAAAGTGAAACCAAAAGTTGCTGAGACTTTTATTTCAGTATGTTGATGTACATACAACCTAAACTGAAAATTAAGTAGGGGGCGGGGCTTTCATTTTGCACATCATTCCCTTATAGCAGACTAATGGTATGAGAGGCGTGGTTAAAAATATTTTGGTTGAAACCGTCAAACTGACATCAACAGAAGGACCCCCTCTAAACACAGAAGCAAATGTGGTGTGTACTTATATGACCATCCACCCAAATCGCTTCACAATCCACTTGGATGATGCAATGACATCCACAGTGGAGAGACTGTGATAGAGCAAATTCGGTGGATGGGGATGATTGGGAGGCCATGATGGGTAAGGGCCGATGAAGGGAATTTGGTCAGGACACTGGGGTTACACCCCTACACTTTACAAAATAGGATTTTTAATGAACACAGAGAGTCAGGATTTCATCTCATCTGAAAGATGGCATTCACTGACAGGTGTCCCTTGACTATACTGGGGCATTAGGACTCATGCAGACCCCAGGTTGAGCGCCCCCTGCTGGCCTTACTAACACCAACAGCAGCCTAGTTTTCCCATGTGGTCTCCCATCCAGGTACTGACCAGGCTCAGCCCTGCTTAGCTTCAGTGAGTAACTGGTCTTGGACTATAGGGTGACAAGTACCCATATTTGATTAAAGATTACCAAAGCAAACTTTTTTCAATGAATTAATCCCACAGATTAGTTGTGCACCTAAAGAATAACGAATGACGTGTGCTAGCCAGCATTGTAAATTCACACAGACTTTAAACATGATGACCGTTTATTATTATTATGACTGCAAGTTTTGTACAGTACTAGACTTTTTTGACCATATTTAAAGTCTGTCCAGTGTTTTGGAGGGAAAATGTGCATTTTATTCTTACCGTTGTTATCCGAAAAAGTCTGTTTAGGGGGAAAATGAAAGCAGATGTTACGGTTAGTTGAGTTAACCCAACGTTATGTAAATGATCATGTGCTGCTGCGTTCCTCCAATCAACGACTTTAACCAGACACATATGCAAATTAGGCCGTTATAACATTTGAGAAGTGTGAAAAGCCCTTATAGCAGTTTCCTGTTAGCTCTGTTTTCTTATTATAATGCTAATCCTGCTTTAAATCCTTTAAAATGTTGTGAGAAAGAATTTTATGGTTGTCTAAAACAGATTAACGACATTGTCAGCATTCTCTGCACTGCCAAATTTCTGTTTAGTGCTAATATGATGTTCTCTGAGGACATTTCCCATGCTTACCCAAAGTCGTCTCCTCGTCTCTAAACAAGGGCTGAACATGCTTCACATCAGCAATAAAACCACGGAGGATTCGGACCGGCCTCCAGGATTGCACTTAAACTGACTGTCATGGCGGTCGAGAACAATATGGGAATTTGGGAACTGAAATCACTGGACTACAGTATGTTCTTAATTGAACGATGGGCTTGTACCACACTTTCCTGAACCTGTCATTAAATCTGCTGAATGGAACTGAGACAGTCGCTTGTGCTGTAACTGCAACAAACTTATAAAGGTGAATAAACATGTACTATTCATTCATTTTCCTTTGGCTTAGTCTCCATTCCAGAGGTCGCCACAGCAGAGTACACAGCAAACCATTCCAGCATATGTTTTACGCAGCAGATGCCCTTCCAGCTGCGAACCCAATACTGGGAAACACCCATACAGACTCATTCACACACTACTGGCAATTTAGTTTATTAAATTCACCAATAGCACATGCATTTGGACTGTGAGGGAAATCGGGGGACCTGGAGGAAACCCACGCCAACATGGGGAGAACATGCAAACTCCACACAGAAATGCCAACTGGCTCAGCCGGAACTCAATGCAGTGAGCCACAGTGCCGCAAATATTTACTATGATAAAGCTATTTAAAGTGATGTCCCGTTGAACACAAAATAAGATACTTTGAAGAATGTTACAACCTGTAACCTGTCTTCTATACTATTTTGTTTCCAACGTTTTATGGATGTCAGATGGCTGCCAATTTATACAGTTTTTATATTTCTACTGTTTAACATATGAAAGAAACTCAAAGGAGTTTGGAGCCACTTGCAGCAACCAAATCTTCCCTTTTCGATGAACTAGCACTTTAAAATCAGCCCTTTACATTCCCACTCTCTGCTATTGGTAGAACAAAACATTCCCACATTCCCACACTTTTGACCAAATGCTTGGTAACACTTCTCTGAAGGGGCGTTCATAAGACATGACGCATGTCGCAATGAGATTTTATGCATGCTTCTAACAACTTTCATTAAGGCTCAATCCCAATAAAATTTTTGTACCCCTACCCCATGGTCCTTCAAACAGAGTGTGAACATTTAAGCTTAGTTGAGCACTTTCTTAGACAAGCTGATTTGCCATCGTGTTCACCAGTGCTCAACAGAAATGACTGTGATTGGCCGTGAAGATCATTAGTTTATGATGTTTACCAAGTGCAAACACAGATGAGTGATCCCCTGATGAATTAACTGATCTTCAAAGCTTTTAAAGGCTCCGGTGTTCATGTATTTGTGTTTACACTTGGTAAGGAGCGTGACCTTCAAGGCCAATCACAGTCATTTCTGTTGAGTACTGGTGAATACAAGGGAAATCAGCAGTGTTTAAGAAAGCACTCAATGGTAAGGGGAACGAACGTTTTGAAATTTCAGCATCAGGACAACACTTTTACAGACAACACAAGGCTGTGCTACAGAGGACTGCATTGTTTTGGCGCTCACCAGATTACATAGGCTGAGGCAGGGAAGCACCTACTGTGTTTACCTGATGCCATGAACTGAAGCCTAGGAGGACACTCTTCAAGAGATTGTGATTTTGTTTGATGCCTAATATGCTTTTAACTGTTTAAATTACACTTACTAAATGATATTAAAGTGATGTTTACACCAAATCTACATTTTAAAATCACGACAACAGTAGAAGGTTTGTAGTCCACAGCATGTTGATGCAATGTTTACAGTGCTGATCCTAAACTTAAGGGTTTCTTCCACCACAGCCTTGCTTTTGTTTTTTTAAAATGGCGGCTGCGTGAAACAAGCAAATTGGGTCTCTACAGGCAAACAATCTAAAATTATTGTTCTTTAGTTTAAGCTTCAAATAACATTGAGTGTGCATTGAAATACTTTGAAAATAAAAAACAAAACCTCCTAAAACTGAAACCGTGTACAACATTTTCTTTTATTGGGGTTTTATTTCTCTTAACAGTTATGTTGATGGCGATGTGTAAAAACATGACCAATTCAACTGTGAAAATGCAGAAAACTGATTAAAACACAAGTCTAAAATAATATTTTAAGATGAATGTGAGGTTTCTGCACCACTAGTTCCTGTTTTTGGAACTGGTCTGTGTGTTTAACTGACCAATGACAGCGATGGATATTTTTGCACATCTTTCTGGTGCTGCTAATGACGCATCATTTACATTTCACCTTAAAACAAAGATGGCTTTTTTATTTGAAATGTTGACTTGTCACAATTTAAAATAAAGGTTCATTAGTTCCTGTATTACTAACATGAACTAAGCATGAACAACAGTATTTATTAATTATAGCTCCACATTTATTAATGTATTGTTCATTGTTTGTTCATGTCAGCAAATACATTAATAACTTAACGGAACCTTATTATAAAGTGTTGCCAGTTTAAGTTAAGTTTTTACATTAACTGCTGTATCTTTAGCCCTGTTACATGAATAAAACAATTAGTTGGTAAAACTTAAAGCGCTGTCATTTGCAGAATCCAGAAGCTGCCAAGAGTATACAAATGGACTCTGAATTCCTCAAAAATTAATATCAAGGCTTAGCTTTGTTAGCAGGTGCTTTCTTAGCCCTGAGACAGCGAATCTCACAGTCCTCCTGAGTGTTGAATCGGTTGTCGTTCCCTTCACAGCCTCCATACCAGAACTGGACACATTGACCATTGCGGCTGTTGAAGGCCCATTTCAGTGTAAAGTTGCTGCAACTTCCTGCATTAGACTCAAGCTGGCAAATGTCTGAGCAAAAGGAAAATAAAAATAAAGCTTGATTAAATTTGCTTGACATTTTTGATCAAAGAATAGAACAAAATATATATATATATTTATTTATTTATTTATATATATATATATATATATATATATATATATATATATATATATATATATATATATATATATATATATATATATATATATATATATATATATATATATATATATATATATATATTTATATATATGGGGTGGGCCATTTATATGGATACACCTTTATAAAATGGGAATGGTTGGTGATCTCAACATCCTGTTTGTGGCACATTAGTATATGTGAGGGGGCAAACTTTTCAAGATGACTGGTGACCATGGTGGCCATTTTGAAGTCGGCCATCTTGGATCCAACTTTTGTTTTTTCAATAGAAAGAGGGTCATTTGACACATCAAACTTATTGGGAATTTCACAAGAAAAACAATGTTGTGCTTGGTTTTAACATAACTTCTTTCTGAAGTTACTTTCTGACCACTTATACAATGTGTTCAATGTGTGCCCATTGTGTTGGATTTTCAAAGCAACCCTCTTCTCCCACTCTACACACACTGATAGCAACACCGCAGGAGAAATGCCAGCACAGGCTTCCAGTATCCATAGTTTCAGGTGCTGCACATCTTGTATCTTCACACCATAGACAACAGCTTTAAGATAACCCCAAAGAAAAAAGTCTACGGGGTTCAGATCGGGAAACCTTTGGGGTCATTCAATTGGCCCACGACGACCAATCCACTTTCCAGGAAACTGTTCATCTAGAAATGCTCGGACCTGACACCCATAATGTGGTGTTGCACCATCTTGCTGGAAAAACTCAGGGAACGTGCCAGCTTCAGTGCATAAAGAGGGAAACACATCATCATGGAGCAATTTCAAATATCCAGTGGCCTTGAGGTTTCTACTAATGAAGAATCACCCCACTGTCTTTGTTGTCTATGGTGTGAAGATACAAGATGAGCAGCACGTGAAACTACAGATACTGGAGGCCTGTGCTGGCATTTCTCCTGCGGTGTTGCTATCAGTGTGTGTAGAGTGGGAGAAGAGAGTTGCATTAACAATCCAACACAATGGGCAACACGTTGAACACATTTTATGAGTGGTCAGAAACTTGTAAATAACTCATGAAAAAATAAAGTTACATTAAAACCAAGCACACCATTGTTTTTCTTGTGAAATTCCCAATAAGTTTGATGTGTCAAATGACCCTCTTCCTATTGAAGAAACAATAGTTTGATCCAAGATGGCCGACTTCAAAATGGCCACCATGGTCAACACCCACCAATCACGTATACTAATGTGCCACAAACAGGACGTTAATATCACCAACCATTCTCATTTAATTAAGGTGTACCCATATAAATGGCCCACCCTGTATATGTATATATACACACACATACACAGACACAATTTTATAAAAGTCTGATTTTATTTACTTATCAAACTCATATAATTCTGTTTTATATATATATATATAATGAGTCTTTTAGTTGGATGAACAATAACCTACAACTGGTTGTAATAAAAACAACAGTAGTTTACTCACTGGGATCCTGAGGAAGATTTTTGGATTCTGTGGAAGAAATTTCATCTAATGGAAAAAAAGAAGAGATTTATTAATTTAAAAAGTTTGTGATTTAGGCATTGAAGTATAAAGCTTTATTTTTTTTATTTTTATAGTCACATAAATAAGATTATTAGTGAACATTTAAGACAGCAATAAGAATTCAGAGTTTCTCTGGATTTACTGAACTGGTTTTATGAAAATTTTTATTTTTCATTGCGACATAATATGACATTTTCATTTAAAATTGAAAGGAAAAGAAAGAGAGATTGAGAGAATTCCACATTTTTATAAAGGAATTATAAAACGTTGATTATTAAATATGCTGTAAATTATTATTATTGTTTCATCCAAAAATGCTGATTTTTAATAATAAAAAACAGTATTTTAATCAATAGTTTATTCTAAATTGTTGATTATTAAATATACAGTTAATTATTGTGTTTTTTTTCTTCACTACTACTGTCATAATTTCACAAGTTTTGCTTAATATAAAAATCCGATACTATAAGCTTTGACAATATGTAACATTTGTCATGGAAATAAGGCAAGTTTAAATTAGAATTTGAGAGAGAGAGAGAGAGAGAGAGCGAGAGAGAGAGAGAGAGAGAACAAACCAATTTGAATACATTTAGAAAGATATACAAAAATACAAAAAAAATCAAGTAGTATGGGCCCTTTTCACAAGACGTGTTATGACGTGCTTAACAATCATCAGCATCTTAAATACTTAAAAGTTTTTAATATTTACATAAAAAAAAACTTATGTGTATTTTTAGTATGGTTTTCCTGTTGAAAAACCCGGAAATGTGAAAAGGATCCAATAAGCTTAAAAAAAATGACATCAAACAGACTTAAAACATCAAACTAAACATGGCAAACCTTGACAACGTTTTAAAATGATAAAATTGTTACTATTTTCAGCTAAACAAGATTTAAATGGATAGTTCTCTCTCTCCGTCTCTGATACATTTAAAGAGAGAGAGATAGATAGCAATAAACAATCCATAAAAACAGAAGAAAATCTAAATATACCTGTGGAGCCGCACTCCCTAAGGCACTCGTCCTCCGTCAAGAATCGGTTTTCATTCCCATCACAGCCGCCATACCAGAAATGTATGCATTTGTTGGTCTGTTTTCTATAGTACCACCTGGACACGTACGTTCCACACAAACGGCCAGGATCTCTCGCAAGGAAACATCGTGCTGTTGGAAACAAACAGTACACTCCACTAATTCCCCATGGCACTGAATACTGAACTATATCAAAGAAACAGCACAAAAACAGTGTGTGCATTTTTAATGAGAGTGAGGAAACATGCGACTTCAGAAAAGGTAGAGCAGGTACACCAGGGAGTTGAAGTGCTCTTATTACGCTTTTTCAGTATTACCTTCCATGCAGTGTGGACTGTAAAAAACAAAAGCGTCTGCCTTTTATTTTTTTTAGATAAATCTGCTAATCAAAATCAGCTAATTATAGTTAAAACTTACACTGGAATAAACTGATTTAAAACATCAAGTTAAATCTTGCATGACCGAATCATAAAAAATAAGTTTTAATAATAAGTAAAGAAAACATTAGTTGTCAAGATTGATACAAGATGTTTTAAGGCAGCTTGTTAAGGCAATGCTTTTTAACAGATGTTTGTGACTAAAAGGTCTGCATGATAAAATCCCTTGGTAACTGCTCTACCTTGTTTGAAGCTCCCTTATTGTGCTTTTTCTGATATTACCTTCCGAATAGTGTACAATGTAAAAAAATAGGTTGCTGTCTTTTATTTTTATTAGCAAAATTAGCTAACCAAAATCAGCTAATTATAGCTAAATTTTACACTACATTAAACCGACTTAAAACATCTGACTTTAAACAAGTTAAATCTTGTGTAATAGAATTGTAAAAATAAAATACTTTTAATAATACTGTAAGTAACAAAAACATACGTCAAGATTTATGCTAAGATTTAACAATTTAAGCTGAATTAACTCAATTTAAGGTAGTGACATTTTTCTACAGAGATGTTTGTGACTGTGAAAGGTCTATAAATTAGTCTGCAAGAAAAAAAATCTTTAATCATTTTAGGCTACTGTTTACCAAAAGTGAAAACTGATTTTGACAGCTTGACATTATTGTCATTAATTCCAGTTTAACACCTGCACAAATCTATGTAGGTTTATGCTTTATAAAAGTGGCTGCCTTTCATTGTTTTTTATTTTTATTTTTAGCTCAATCTGCTGATCAAAATAGGCTAATCATAGCTAAATTTGGCATTGCAATTAACTGATCTAAAACGGCAAGTTATATCTTGCGTAACAGAATTGTAACAATTAAGTTGTAATAATGAGTAACATACTGTACGTTGTCAAGAATGATACAAGATGTTTTAAGGCAGCTTAACAATTTAAGTTGAAATAACTACATTTTAAGGAAATACTTTTTTATAGAGGTGTTTGTGACTGTGAACGTTCTACAAATATATAACATTTATCGATAAAATCTGCATGATAAAATTTGAATTTATAAGTTACTGTTTACCAAAAGTGAAAACTAATTTTCAGAGCTAGAAATTGTCATCAGTAATTCCAGTATAATGACCTGCACAAATCTATGTAGATTTGTAACTGATATTCAATTCAGTTTAGATATGCTTAATACTCTGGTTTTAATGGCTTTCTGGAAAGTCTCATTTGACCCTGAATCAATGTAGTTGTAGTTAAGAATGTAAAAGTATGGTTTGAGCCAAACAGCATAAAAAACAATAAGGTTTAGAAAATATCTTTCAAAAACTATCTTTTCAAAACTTTAAAACAGCATGTGGCACATCATTCAGACAGGATGATCTGGATTCAATACCTTTAGTCTTTGGAGGTTCAGTCTGGTTCTCTATGAGCTCCTCTGTAAGACGTTCATCAGTGGATTCTGGTTTTTCTGGTTCTGTATTTTGCTCTTCATAATATTCATATTCAACCTGAGGAAAATCAGTTGTGATGACGCCTTCGGTAGGTGCCTCTGTGGGCAGAATGGGTGGGGGCCTCGGTGGGCTGAAACAAAACCAGAAGGGTTTGTGTCTTGTTTGGACCGTTAGTGTCCAATATTTCATTGTATTTCTATAGTTCATTTATTTATGGCCACATCAGCAACTTATGGCTATTTCATAATAAGAATAAAAATGAAATATATATCTGTATAAAACTGTTATAATAATAGTAATAATAATAATAATATTAAAAATAATAGTAGTAATAATAATAATAATATTAATAATAATAATAATAATAATAATAATATTAATAATAATATTAATAATAATAATAACCGCTTTATACACCAATAAGAGATAATAGAAAAAACTCAATTTCAAATTAAAAACTAAATAAAACAATTAAATATGATTTACACTTCGATGTATGATAAATAACATTTCAAAACACCCAATAAAGTGATTGTTTTTATTTAAACACTAAAAAAAATATGACAACAAATGCTTTTTTGTTACTTTTACTTATTTCAATAAGTTAATCAGGTTTCAACTAAATTGTTTTTGTTACAGTGCATCTGGAAAGTATTCAGCGCTTAATTTTTTCCGCATTTTTTTTTTTAATCTCTGCCTTATTCCAAAATGGATTAAATACATTTTTTTCCTCAACATTCTACACACAATACCCCATAATGACAATGTGAAAAAAAGAGTTTTAGAAATTTTTGCTAATTTATTAAAGATAAAAAACCTGAAAAATCTCATGTTCATCAGTATTCACAGCCTTTGCTCAATACTTTGTTGATGCACCTTTGGCAGCAATTACAGCCTTTTTGAATATGATGCCACAGGCTTGGCACACCTGTCCTTGGGAATGTTTGCCCATTCCTCTTTGCAGTACCTCTCAAGCTCTATCAGGTTGGATGGAAAGCGATGGTGTACAGGCATTTTCAGATCTCTCCAGAGATGTTCAATAGGATTTAGGTATGGGCTCTGGCTGGGCCACTCAAAGACATTCACTGAGTTGTTGTAAAGCCACTCCATTAATATTTTGGCGGTGTGCTTTGGGTCATTGTCCTGCTGGAAGATGAACCATCGCCCCAGTTTGAGGTCACAACACTCTGAAGCAGGTTTTCATTCAGGATGTCTCTGTACATTGCTGCATTCATCTATCCCTCTATCCTGACTAGTATTCCACTTCCTGCTGCTGAAAAACATCTCCACAGCATGATGCTGCCACCACCATGTTTCACTTTAGAGATGATATTAGCCTGGTGCTGAGCGATGCCTGATTTTCTCCAAATTTAACGTCTGGCATTCCCTCCAAAGAGTTCAATTTTAGTCTCATCAGACCAGAGAATTTTGTTTCTTATGGTCTGAGAGTCCTTCAGATGACTTTCAGCTAATTCCAGGCAGGGAGTGTCTACTGTCTGGCCACTTTACCATAGAGGTCTTATTGGTGGATTGCTGCACATATGGTTGTCCTTCTGTAAGGTTCTCCTCTCTTCACAGAAGAATGCTGGAGCTCAGACAGAGTGACCATCGGGTTATTGATCACCTCCCTCACTAAGGCCCTTCTCTTGTGATCACTCAGCTTAGATTGCCGGCCAGCTCAGTCCTGGTGGTTTCGAACATCTTCCACTAACGAGTGATGAAGGCCACTGTGCTCATTGGAACTTTCAGAGCAGCAGAAATGTTTCTGTAACCTTCCTTAGCCTTGTGGCTCGAGACAGTCTCGGAGGTCTACAGACAATTCATTTGACTTCACGCTTGGTTTGTGCTTTGAAATTCAAAAACTCTTTTTTTCACATTGTCATTATGGGGTATTGTGTGTAGAATTTTGAGGAAATAAATGAATTTAATTCATTTTGGAAAAAGGCTGTAACAAAAAAATGGGAAAAAGTGAAGCGCTATGAATACTTTCCAGATGCACTGTATATAAAGTTTAACTTACTCTTTTAAGTTAGTTGATGTTGCAGTGACAAGAAAAGTTTGATTCAACTAAAAAAAATAGGCCAGCATTATATTTTTATAGTGACTCTGCAAACAAAAACAAAATTAGCCTTAAATAAATGCATTGCATAAGGTTTGAAACAACAGATATTTCAGACCACAATCAAAGCTAAATGCAGTCTAGCCAAATGAAAGTGTGTGACTTTCGGACAGGCAATGTTGATACAATACATATGTCCAAGCACAGCCCACACTTCTGGCACAATGAAAAGACTCAAAAGACAACAAAGTAAACTTTTAGACCTCCCAAAGTGGAGTTCAACCCAACAACCTTCAGATTATTGATCCTAGAGCTGAACCAGCTGTCACATCAAAACACAAACACACATTTAAGAAAACGATTCAGCTAAATGGTTTTCAAAATGAACAATTCCTTATGATTTTATATTCAGAGGGTGTTGTTGGCACATTACCTCTCTGTGGTTTGCTGTCCAAAGTCAACAGGCCTGACCACAAAACCACGACAGTCACGGGGCTGTGGGAGTGTGTGGGGTAGGATTCCTCCTGAAAAACAGCAAACATGCATCAGGCTTATGCCCAAAACACAAAACCATAAAACAACATTTCATTACTTTTTGAAAGAAATGTTATCAGATAGAAGTGAAACATTACACTTAATAATGTAAGGGGGGGGGGGATAAGCACTGATCATGTTTTTTCCTGGCAACATTATCTCTAAAGGAGCTGTTGACATGGAATTGAACCAGATTCAAGTAAAAACCCAAACAATAGAAAAATAAAACTAAAAAAAAACAAAAAAATGAATAATGAGTTATGTATATTAACAAAGAAATGACAGAAGGAGAAAACCCTGAACTACTAAAACATATTTAATGCTTTATATAAACGTCTTTATTGGTGACGGCAGCTTAAAAACGCCTCTTATATGGAGAATAAAGTCACATGCGTTGCTCAGGTGTGAGTTTTTCACAGACTACATAAGAGTGTAAAAATCTTGACAGCTTTAATTTGTATTGTCTATTGGATTCGAGTCAGGGGATTGGCTGGGCCATTCTACAGCTTGATTTTCTTTCTCTGAAAGCATTTGAGAGTCTCTTTGGCTGTGTGTTGATCATTGTGTTGCTGAAATGTCCACTCAGGTTTCATCTTCATCCTCCTGCTAATAGATGTTGGACTGAAGCAGCTGATATTCATTTACACTGATGAAGGTAGAGGGTTGCTGAAGAACTACTGAGAGGTTTCAGCTGCTGTCTGGGCTTTCACTGCCTTTCTACAACCTCCCTTTCTTCATGTGTTCAATACTTTTCCCTGCGTCATTTCATTTTATTACACATAACTTCATTTGTTTTCTTTGCATATATGGATTTCTTTGTTACTAACATCTGTTGAAAATTTTAAGTCAACAGCAACCTTTAGAAATATGTTTTCTGAGAAAAATATATAACGAGTTCAATACTTATTTTCCCTCGCTGTACTCATTACTCCAGATGTGCTTAACAATGTATGACCATACCTAGAACTACAGCAGTAAAAAGTATTATTATTATTATTAAAGTATTATTATTTATTTACCTTCTTTATTTGTTTATTTAAAAAAATTGTTTGTTTTGCTCTACTCAGTGCACCAAGCTAGATCTCTTACCAGTTTATTATATTTTAAAATTGAAAATATTTCTAACTCTATTTGACCTTTGTTACCGAGTGTCTTAATTGTTTTGTTTTTACAATTGTATTTTGTATTTTAAAACCAATAAACAAATAATAATAATTAAAAAGATAGACTAAAAATATAACTAAAATAGTCGTCTGGCAAACTGCTTCCCCCAGGATATAGAGTACTGATGTGTAAATACTTCTTGTAAAATGTATACAAGAATTTTTTAGTATCGGAATGCATTTGGTCGCAAGTGTTTATTCTGTAGTGTTTTTAATTTTTGTTTACTCTTACTATTATGATTATTTGTTTATCATAAATCTTTGCACCAACAAATTTCCTCTTGAGGGCAATAATTCCTCTTGAGTACACCAATTTCTTACTTTGATTCAGTTAACTAAAATACTACTAATAATAATTGTGAAGTAATCAGATTTTCATTATATTTAATTAATATTAACAATGAATAATATGTATTATATATATATATATATATATATATATATATATATATATATATATATATATATATGTGTATTATATATATATATATATATATATATATATATATATATATACATATATGCCTGATATTTGACTACGACTCTAGATTTCTTGTGTACATCTGTTTGCCCCAGTGTTGACCGTTGCTTGCCTGACTGTCCTGCTAATAAACCCTGCATTTGGATCCTCACTCCCTCTCTTCAGCGTCCCATTTCAAATGACTATATATATATATATATATATATATATATATATATATATATATATATATATATATATATATATATATATATATATATATATATATATATATATATATATATATATATATATATATATATATATATATATATATATATATATATATATATATATATATATATATATATATATATATATATATATATATATATAAATATATATATATATATATATATAGATATATAGATAGATACAGATACACACATATATATATATATATATATATATATATATATATAAATA